TGTCCCATTTTACAAGTGAGAAAACTGAGGGGTGCGATATAAAGACATTTTGTTTCGCCCTATGGATAACCTTGGACAAAGAGCCCCAGACACTGGGCCATTGCCCTGCACAGGGAGGTGATCTACAAGGGAGGTCATGACTCTCATTCCAACCTCCTGCCGTGCTGGGAGGCCCCAGGGAGCCGTATCACCGAGATAGCGTGGCGGCCTGGCCTCACCTTCTGGGGTGTACGTGTCTCTGTGATCTGTCCTGCTAGGAGGGGCAATGCTGCCACATCTCCTTGCCAGTCCGTCCCCAAGAAAACGGTTTGTCTCCAGCTCCACAGGGTGCCAGGGAGTCAGAAGTAACAGAAGAGTCAAAGAGCCTTTCTGAGTGCTCCCGCCTCCACAGCCTCCTGCCGCGCCACAGCCTGCAGCGGGGCCTGGCTCTCCCCACCTGAGCACGGAAGCCCGGCCTCGGGCTGAGCAGGGGCTGGCAGTAATGGGTGGCATTCGGCTCAGACCCGGGAAAAGGCTCAGAGAAGTCTCTGCAGACCTTGATCCTGCAGCGATGCCTGAGCAGGGTTTTCCAGGATGTGGAAGTGTTTCCTGGGGATTCTCCACCACGCGTCCCGGACATTCTGACCTCCTTCTCTCTAAGTTAGGATTTCCTTCTCCGCACCAGCTAGGCAGTAAACCAAAGCAGTTCAACCTTCCAAGGAACCGTGCAGTTTGTTGCCAGGGCCAGGGGTCTGTGGCGCTGGCAACAACGACCCCGTGCCAGGAGCAGAGGCTGTCGACATGCAGACCTGTCCGTACAGGGGCCATCATGCAGTGTGTCTGCCCTCCTGCGGCAGCTCGTTGCACTCGTAATGGTGCCCTTGGGGCTCTTCCCTGTTTTCACATGTCACCCCGTATCCTTATTGTTACAGACCAAGTGTTGTTCAGTTGTGTGTCTGTCACCACATGTTTGTGGGCCACTCATTCATCAGTGGTCATTTGGACTGTTTCCACATCTTGGCTGTTGTGATACGAGGGACCTGAAATAGTCTGACTCATGGAAGCAAAAAGGATACAATGGTGGTTGTGGGGGCTGAGGCAAGGGGTGGGGGAGGGGATGGGGGGCGGGGGGGTATTAGTCCAAGGCACTAAGTTTCGGCTTTGCAAGATGAAGGAGTTCCAGAGATCTGTACGCTGTGTGCTTCTTGATAACGAGACTGTATTGTGCACCTAAAAACTGTTAAGACAGAACTCATGTTGGGTTCTTAACCTCAAAAAGCAGAAAAAGAAATGTCAATTCCAGGACAGAAATAAAAAGAGCAAGTTCAAAACACACACACACACACACACACACACACACCACAACAGCAAAGATACATCTTTTTTTTGCAAAAGAAAGGTATCTAATGAGGGCAGTTAAATAATCCAAGTTTTGCTTTCAAAGCACAACTGTGGTGGTGTCACAGAAAACATGTGGAGGAGGAGAAACTGCGGCCAAGACCAGTGAGAGGGTCGTCGGTGGGTCCTGCAGGAAAACCATGAAGCTGTTTGGATAGAAAAAGCTCTCCTTCCCCCTCTCAGGGTCCCTGGCTGGGCCTGAAAATTAAACTGACAAGAGCAGAGTAACGGAAACAAAGCAACAGGAGACAGGCACGCACATTTGTTTCACACGCATTTCCCGTGACAGGGGGGCCTTCGGAGGGGAGTGACGCCCCGAGGAGGCAGCCCCGCGTGTCTGGCGCTGGTTTGGTGGAGCGTCGTGGGGCAGCACGCTGGGCCAGAGAGGGGGAGATCAGCGCAACAGGCTGCGGGACCTCGGCAGGGCCTGGGTGTGAGGACTCTTCCCCGTGTCCCTGTCTTCGGGGATGAGGATGCTCCCTCCTTTCCCCCAGGCAGACGGAGGGAGGGCGCCTGTCACCTGAGAGCTTTATGACCGACGGCAGGGGAGAAGGGAGGATTGGTGTGGGTGGTCAGACAGATCTTGCTGCTTCTGCTGTTTCGCAAACTCTTTGGCTTAAAATATCCAGTACAGCAAGGTGCCATTATTGGGGGGGTGGTTAGTGTGACAGAATCTCAACGACGGCATAGTAAGCAGGGTGGGAAGTGACCGGGCAAACTGCTTTGATGTTTCAGAGGTAGAATCAGCTGCCTTCTACCCTGCGTGATGCAGCATTACGGGCCAGGGGAAGGGAAGGCCGGTGCTTCCCCCCAGATACAGGGAGTGTGAAGAAGGACCTGCGGGACATCGCGGGTCAGATGCTGAGGACACACCTGGTGCTATGGACCTGTGGGGTCGAGAAGTACGGATGGAGCCAGGAATGTGGCGAATAAAGGAAATGAGAGAGAATCCCTCAATCGAGCCTGGGAGCATACAATCAAACCCTGAAGAGGCTAAGAGAGCAAAGTCCCAGCGGACACGGGCATTTGCTGGTGGGAGAAGCTGGTGCAGCCAGCACAGTGTTAGATTGTGACACAGGAGCAAAGCCAGGGGCGTTTCCGGGAGTCAGTCGTTTCTGGCAACGTCTAACATTTTGGCGACGGCGGATAAAACATGGGCTCTGAAAGGAGGTGGTCGGGTTAAACCATTAGGCCATTTTTAACCCAAGAGAAAGCACTTTCTGTGGTGCTGCGAGGCACCAGAACCTACGTGCTCTACTGAAGCAGGAATGCCGGAGTCAGGGAACTCCTCCACAAGACTAACGAAGTAAATTTCTCTGCCACCCAGAGGGGACCACCTTTCTAAGGGGATCCCAGAGCTAACGGTGACAGGAGGAACACGTACAGAAAACGAGCTGGAGACCAGATAGAGTACATCTTGGAACATTTTCTCCTGTGACTAGTCCCCGGGATAATTTCTGACACATAGTAGATGCTCAGAAAATGTGCTGAAATGAGTAATTTGTTTCAGTTTACTGACTCAGTGTTTTCCCTGTATAATTGAATCTTGGTAAGGTCTTACTATACCTAACGTGCTTCTTTTTTTTTCCCCCTTTCTTTCTGAGCATAAAATTCGGCTCAGCAATTCTGGAATTACGGAAGCGGTTATTTCCATCCTGTGCTCACAAAGCAATCCACGCTAGCTGTTCTTAACTGCTGGCAACCTTCGCACCTGGTCGCTGCTTAAGGAAGCATTTCTGTAAAGTTTCAAATGCAATTGAAAGTGATTTCGTGTTAATTTATTTAAGTTCTATTTTCTTTTCTTTCTGCATTTTGGTTCCGCATTCTTCTTCTGATGACACCCCGTGATGGAGCACAAGGTTGAAAAGTATGTTTGTACTGTGTTTTCTCCCCAGCAAGCAACCCCTCCCTTCCTCTGGGGGGTGGCCATCCCTGCTCTGATTTCTTTTTTTTGTTGTTTGTTTGTTTATTTGCTTTTGTTTATTTATTTTTAGAGAGGGGGAAAGGAGGGAGAAAGAGAGGGAGAGAAACATCAATGTGTGGCTGCTTCTTGCGAGCCCCTTACTGGGAACCTGACCCACAACCCAAGCATGTGCCCTGACTGGGTATCGAACTTGTGACCCTTCAGTTTGCAGGCCAGCACTCAATCCACTGAGCCACACCAGCCAGGGGTGCTCTGATTTCTGTGTAGTCACTGCCTTGCTTTTTAAAATTGTTTTATGACCCAGGTGTGCACTCCTGAATGTGATGGTTTAGTTTTACTTCTTTTTACAAGGCGTGTTTTTAAAGTATCTTATCATTTTTAGGCTTCTCTCTTCCCCTTTCTAATGTATCTGTTGACAAAAACCAGATGATTTATCTCATAAGTCTTTGCACAATCTGGATTTTGTTGATTAGTTTCATGAGGTGTAGTTTAATGTGTTTTCCCGCCCCCTGTATTTCCTATGAACTGGTGATTGGATCTAGACACTTAGTTTCGGGACCTCCCTGCCCCTTTATTCCCAGATCACCGCCTAGGTAGTGGGTGGGGTGTTCCAATTTAGAGGTGATGGTAGCAGTAGAGGCAAAGCGCCCAGATTCATGATTCATTAGCGGTTGCAACATCATTGTTACATTTCTTTTTTTTTTTAAAGATTTTATTTATTTACTTTTAGAGAAGGGAAGGGAGAAAGAGAGAGAGAAATATCAATGTGTGGTTGCCTCTCACATGGCCCCCACTGGGGACCTGGCCCACAACCCAGGCATGTGCCCTGACTGGGAATCGAACCTGCGATGCTTTGGTTTGCAGCCCGTGCTCAATCCACTGAGCTACACCAGCCAGGGTGTGTTACATTCCTTTACTTATTTGCTGGAATTCTACAGAGAGTTTTCCTTCTCTATTATTTGGTTACCACGGGTTCATTTAGGCAGAGCAGTGTACTGGTTTGATTTTTTTTTTTAAATATACCACTGTTCAAAATAAAGGAACTGGTTGGTCCTATGTCACCTATATCTCCACCTCCATCTCTATCTCTGTATCTACATCTATGTATTTACCTATAGATAAATCACCGCCAGGCTTTGTACTGATATTTCAAGTTCAGTGACAATTCAGAACATCAGGATGGATATTTAAATTCTTCTGTCTTGGATAGGTATCTTTACCCGATTCCTCCAGGTTCTTAAGGAGTGAGTCTGGGGAGGATAGAGTTAGTACGCCACACAAACGCACATTGTACACAGAAGGTTCTTGTGGTCACTATGGAGGACACGCCCCCCAGTGTGGTTTGGGGTGTTCCCACAGAGCCCCTCTTCTGCCAGAGCATGGGGTGCAATTCCACAGTTTTCCTGCACGCTGTCCGCTGCAGATGTGAGAGAGGCAACCATCACAGCTTGAGGCTTTTGCAACTCTGCTACTGTTGTAACAGAACTTTTCCTTGAGCTGTGTCCACGCAAGAGAATGATAAAGGGAACTAAATCCGTGTTGATGACGACTCCATCTTGGAAGAGACGTCACATGAAGAAACTGTCTCGGGAGAGCACGACCGTTGATGACTTAAACTGTGTTATAATATATCGGATTTCCCTTACACGTGGCTCGTGCAATATCATCTCTGTTGTTGTTTTCTTTCTGTGGCTGCCAGAGCATTCCAGTGCGGTGGTGGAAAAAAACATCACTCTGCAAAGTCCGTCGAATGTGGAACTCGCGTGCCAGTTCACGGCATCCGGGGACCCGAACGCCGTGAACGTGTCTTGGACAAAGGATGAGGAGCCCCTGAAGAGCGGTTATTTCATCAGAGCGGAGGACGGAGTCGTGCACACGCGCTACTTGTGAGTAGGCCGCACTGCGACCTGTGCGCTCTCGTGACACGGCTCGGGAAACCCTGAGTGCCTCTGGCGGCTGGCGCGCTCTGCTCTGTGGCCACGGGGACGTCGTGCTAATATTCCAGATGGCGTATTGACAGAATTTGTTTCTATTCTAGCCGTTTGATTAATAGCCATGTCTTTTCATTTTCATTAGGAAGTGTTTTGAAAACTAAGCCTGCATTAATAACTTACATTATCTTTAGGTTCACCATCAGTAATAGCAAACAGTTGGGACGTTATTCTTGTTTCTTTCAAGAGGAAAAGGAAAAAAGGGGCACATTTAATTTCAAAGGTCAGTACTAATGATTTGTAACGTTATAACCAGTGTTCTAAGAATTCTAAATCCCCCAGTTCTTAATTTATTATTACAATGCTAAACATAACGCAGCTGAAAGACATTCATAATATGCTTCCCATTGAATTATAAGTGGCACCTTTAAAATGGTGCTTCCTCTTGTCTGCCCAGCGGTCAGACCTGTAGCTCCCAGTGCACTCCCACTCGGCTTCCGGCCCTCCTTCAAGCACAGGTTTTAGTTAGAAGGACCTGGTTGCCATGTTATTTGTAAGTCATAGCAGTCTTTTCTTCCTGCATCCTTCCTTTCCTCCCTCCCTCCCTCCCTCCCTCCCTTCCTTCCTTCCTTCCTTCCTTTCCTCCTTCCCTTCCTTCCTTCCTTCCTTCCATCCATCCATCCCTCTAAACTCAGAGCTTTTACAATAGCCCTCCAGCTGTCTGAGTTACTGCAGTCCTAGGCTGTGAGAATATGTGTCACCTGTGGAAATTCAGGGACACTATAACATTTTAAAATAATGCAGAGACGCAAAAGGGGTGCCTGCTTTTGGTGCCATCAGGTTAGGGGCAACCCCAGAATGTCACGCCCGGCTCACCCTGGTGGAAACGGACAAATCAAAGTGTTTTACTCCTTCCGTCATTAAAACAGAACTTTAACGATCTCAGACACATCAAAAAGACTAGCCATTCAAGTTCGACAATTATCCTCATGAAAACCCCCACGCTGGGACAGATTAGTGGACACAGTGTCCATGTTGGTGTTTTGGAAACACAGTCTGTTGCCATATTGACTGCTTTGGACTTTTCCTCACATTATGAGAAATCATTGTCTGGCTGGCGGCTGGGACAAAATAGGGACACTGTCCCGGCAGCCCCACCCACGGCAGGACGGCCTGTTCCGTCACTATCGACCTGACGTGAGGTGGCTCGCTCCTACACCCCTCCCTGCTTCCCTCTCCACTCCCCAGCTTACTTCCTTCTGAAGGGTTTGTGACTGTGCCATCCTGGTAAATATAATAAATCCTGGTGTTTGTGGAACTTGGTCTCGGCAAAGGCAGGAACTGTAACCATCTTTTGATTATTTTGATCATGTACATTCTCTCTCAACCTTCTTTCCTTCATTTGCCTGATTTAACTTAAGGGAAGGATAAATTATATACAGTTCCTTCCTTTATTCATTCTTTCCCTTCCCTTTTTTATTTTCCTTTTCCATTTGTCTTTTCCCCACCCTCCCTCCCCCATGAGTTAAAAGGATATTGAACTCATGCACACACACAATCCTAGTGAACATTTTATTGCGTCTCCTTTAAATACATAAAGTAGACCTACAGGTCTTACAGAAATACTCAACAAATCTTGAGGCTTAATGCGATTCCAGGAAATTCAGCTTTAAAAATAGTTTTATTCCCCCCTTCTAAATGGCTCTGTTTTCTACAAATGTGCACTAGTTACACCCCTTCAAAGTTTAAATATCGATGACATTCCATGTTTCTCAGTAGCTTTCTTATACTAAATCACCTGAGCTATTGTTTGGAAGTGATCATTCTTACCTCTAATGAGAAGATGGACAGGAGCACTTCACTTTTCAATATCCCGGTTGATTTAATGCCAACAGTCTTGAAGGTGGGCTCTCGGTTCCGAGTCCGTTGGAGATAAGGAGCCCGGAGCTGGCTGGGGCGCCGGCGTAAAGCCGGCATCGGAACTCGAGTGCTTGGGGAGTCACAGAGCCACTGAGTATTTACTTCTTTAAAAAAATAGTTCTCTCGAAGCAGTTTAGTCCAGTTTATTAGTTTTTAGTGCCCACGGAACATGAATGTAACTTTTAAGTATGTACTAGGTATATCATGAGGATATTTATAAAATTAATAAGTTGAGCCCTTCTAGATCTTTTGGCAAAACAATAATTCTCTGTAATTTATCTAAATTTATTATTGTTTTGAAAACTAATTTCTTTTTATTGCAATTTAGAGATGTTTGGGCGTCTGCAGAACAACTCATGTTGCAGTTATTTAATTAGGTCTATAAGGCTTATGGGATGATACGTATTTTCATCAATGTCCTATTATGCTTCCTCCACATGGGTTGCTTAGGTTTGCCCAAGAAGGAGGATTATCTTTCCTTAGCAGCACTACAATTGTGTGTGGATAAGAAGCCTGCTTTATAGACTCTATTTTAAATTGAGCCAGAAAAAAAAATGTTCTGCTGTTGACTTCATGAGTCAGCTGTAGAGCATGCTCTCCAAACAATTTATCAGCGGCGCTCCTGTCTCTGCCTTCCCGGGCGCTGGTTGATTTATTGCTACACGATTGTTAAAGGGCCTCCATGTCCCTGCTTAGTCCGGTGCGGAAAGGCCTGCTGACTGCGTGTGTTTGCCTGCTGATGCCCGTCACGGGCGGCAGCCAGTGCCGGTGATTGCTTCCCCGCCCCCCCCCCACCCCGGTGGATGAGTGATGGTGTACAGGGTTTCTCTGTGGCGCGTCAGATACTCTGAGGTGGCTGCTACAGTATTCATCAATGTTAAAATCTCTTAGCAGAAAGAGGCAGTTTAGTGGGTAAAGGACCACTGACAGCACATGGAACGCTGGGACGTCATGGTGAGGTTTTGATGGTGCCACGTGCTAGGACACGTGTCTTGGCCCTGCCACCATCTTCACTGGGAAGCACCCCGGGAGTTCAAGTGCAGCAGTGTGTTGTGACAGAAGAGCTGGAACCCCAGCCCCAGACTCTGGGGTCAAAGTTAGGTGCTTTGACCATATGGGAGACTCTCTTTCTTAATTTGAACATAAGTAAATATCCTGGAGCCCCAAATGACCAGGTTGATTTTTTTCTAGTTGGTCAACACGTAGATAGAAATCGCCAACCTTGTAACTCCATAGGGGCTTTCTCTTTCACTGCGTGGGGGATGGGGATCCTAGACCCCGTTTTCCTGGAGATCAGCCTGAATCAGCAAAATCACCATCTTTAAGAATGGATGCTTCTAACCCTGAGACTCTGAGGTCCTAGTTTATCCCAAGCTCCAAAAGGTCAGCAGGACACATTAGAAGGCAGCGTTGCTGTCCTTCTGCTCGTGCGCACTTCCAAATGGAAGCAGCAGCCCAGACCGCCTGTCCCTGTGCCTGGGGAGCGATTCAAATCAGCGATGGCCCCCCACCCCCGCTGAGCACAGAGCATTTCATCATTTAGACCCACGCTGCCGGCATCAGCCACACCAGGCAGAGCTGAGCGGTGGTTGGTGTCGTCAGGACCATCAGTCCTGGGGACAGCGGGAAACTACAGAGGCAATGAAAGGAGGCAGAAGCTCTGTTTTATTTCCCTCCGGCATCTCTGCCATCTGCAGTCCGTGTCCTGATCTGAACGTCTCGTGGAGATGGCCTCATGGCGCTGCAACGCATCCCTCCCCCAAACCTCGCAGACGACCCACGGTTCTCTTGAAAAGTCCCTTTCAGCTAGCAGATGCGCTTTCCACGCCCGTGCTGCTTTCCATGCCCGTGCATGACCAAGTGTACCTTCTTCTGCGGTTTTCCTAAAACATTGCTTTTCTCCCACTTTGGATTCTTAGTCTGGGAGTCCCCGTCAACGTTTCGATCATATGCCAACACACATTCTCCTGCTGAGCCATGACCTACCGTCTCTCCAGAGAAAAGCACGCTGAGATGGAGAAGTGGGGTCGCTATCTGGGAGATCAGCAGGCGGGGGACGCAGGCACTGCGCCCTTGACTCATGTGGGTGCCACCAGTTTCCGGCTGCCTCCAGGGCAATGTCCACTCCGAGACAGCCTCGCCAGGCTCCAGAAGTGGCTGCATCACAGCTGCATTAATAAAAGCACAAGCCCTGGCTGGCGTAGCTCAGTGGATTGAGCACGGGCTGCAAACCAAAGCATCACAGGTTCGATTCCCAGTCAGGGCACATGCCTGGGTTGCGGGCCAGGTCCCCAGTGAGGGCCACATGAGAAGCAACCACACATTGATGTTTCTCTCTCTCTTTCTCCCTCCCTTCCCCTCTCTAAAAAATAAATAAATCTTAAAAAAATAAAAGCACAGCTCCACTCCGTCTGTGGTCTGCGAGGAGGAGCCTGGGGCTTCAGCGAAGATTCCTACTTGAGCCAGGCTGACGCTGTCTGCTCAATTTGCAAGTCTTCAGTGGGGGCCTCTTCTGGGTTGAACTTTTTGTTGTTGTTGTTAAAGATTTTATTTATTTATTTTTAGAGAGAGGGGAAAGGAGGGAGAAAGAGAGGGAGAGAAACATCAATGTGTGGTGGCCTCTTGTGCACACCCCTTACTAAGGACCTGGCCCGTAACCCAGGCATGTGCCCTGACTGGGAATTGAACCGGCGACCCTTTGGTTCACAGGCAGGCACTGAATCCACTGATCCACACCAGCCAGGACTGGGTTGATCTTTCCAAGTGGGACTCTGTGTTGCCTGTGCTTATGTGTTCTCAGACTTCCTTTAATAACAACACGACCCCAGGCTTTGGGTATGTTGGAGCGAAATGCAACCAGGAAGGGTGCTGAGCTGACAGAGGGATAGTGTTTTGTCCAAAAACCCAAGAATAACTTTCTTCTCACTCGGTCCAATCATTTCCCATTTCCTCACAATAAAATGTCAAATATAGAAATATACACAAAAAGGGACACCGAAGCAAAATAAAATATGATGATGATGATGATGATGGTGGTGGTGGTGGTGGTGATGATTAGCCAGCCGTGGCCACACACCTTGCTGAAATCCTTGAGGGCCTGACCGCATGGACCACTGCTTCTTTCCCAGTGAGGGTCTTCCTGACCTCACACCGAAGCACAGGGGCCTGCTCCTCCCAGGTCAAGTCCGAGCTCAGTCTGGTGGTCACCACCCCACGTCAGAGGATGCACCCTCGTGGACCAGGACACGTGCTGGTCACGGGGATCCAAACTGCCTGCCCAGTCAGAGCCCCGAAGCCTGACCCACCCAGGACTGCCCTCTCTGGACTGGGGAACTGGAGTGGGGAACTGGAGCGGGGAGGGGATTTACATCGAGGTCACCAGGGACCTCAGCCCACAGACCGCTGTCCTGCTTTCGGCCACCACCTGGCCGGTGTCTAGTGGAGGAAACGGGCTCCACCATAAGAAAAACAGAACAGTACAGTGGTCTGTGGTTCAGCCTAATTTAGGCCGTTACCATTCTGACATTTAACCTCATTGTCTTGTTTCTCCAAAGGGTAAAATTTACTCATTATGTTACCATCAGGACAGATAGCCAACCAACTCTCTTGGCCCCTGGAGTGGTTTCCAATTTTCTCACACGGGTCGTTTTCCTCGGCGAGCGTGCTCTCTGGGTCTGCAGAGGAGCCCGAAGGCGCAGCCACAGGCTGAGCCCACCGAACCAGACGGATGGAGCGGCTTGCCCTAAGAGGGCAGAGCGCTGGGGTGAGGGTGTTCTGCACGGGGTCAGCCCGTCAATAGTCAGTGCTGTAGCTGGACCCGCCCGTGTGGTTCTGACTGTGACTGCAAGACGCCTGCCCCGCGTCAGGAAACTCTGCAAAAGTGCAGGTTGGATACTTAGGGGACCCGGAAGGGGCACGGCCCAGCTGGGTGCAGAGAGAAACTGAGTGAGCGCGGGGCTGGGGTTCTGCTTTTATTGGGGCCACGGGTGGGGCCCAGGGTTTCATGGGCTCACCCCTATGGGTGAATTTAAACAGAGGGAGTGGAAATTTAAAGCGCAGGAAAAGGAACTAAACAAGGGGTCCACACGCCCATTATTGAAATCAACTGAGACCTTTAAAACAAAGGAGTCTCCGTGGGTGCAGGTGGCTGTGACCTAGTCCTGGGGCTGGCACTGGTTTCTTTGCGACGGCCATCTCTGAAGTGTGGGAGCCTTGGCTGGTCAAAGGTGCTTGCATCGTGAAGGAGAGGACAAATGTCAGGGCTTACACTGCCGAGAGACGCTGCAGTTTTCTGTTTAAACCGGCATGGGGGCGGCAATTACTCCCTTAGTCAAAATTATAGCTTACGGCCGTTTCAAAGTGTTGTTTGCTTTGTTCTGTCTCTTCTTGGGAAACGCAGTCTGTAGTGAATGGGACGTTTCATTCTTATTCTTAGGTTTCCTGATAACATGTGAAGTTATCCCATGTGCTTTTCCTGTTCCATAGACTACCTAGGTCCAAACACAAGGTGTTCTTTTGAAGGGTTTAACCGAGTTCATTCCGTTTCTTGTACGGTAAGGAGCAGGAATTAGGCACCCTGGTTTAAAATGTTATAACGTATACTTCGGTTGTAAATCTTTACAACAACATCCGCTTCAACTGCTTTCGCCGAGCCCTTGAAAGTGCGCCCCCACGCGGCGGAGCCGGCTCTGCAGCTTCGCGGAGAAGTCGTCTGGGTCCCGTTCGCTCCCGCCACATGCCGCCCAAAGCGCCTCTTTCTGAAGAAAGAGGCCTCCGGGCCTGGTCTCCTGGGGATCCATCTTCCATTTTTCATCCCTTTTCCATTTGAACTTCCATTTTCAAATGGGCGGGGTGGTCTGTGAGGGACTCCGTTTGGAGCCTCTTCCTCCGTTTGGGCTGCGCCCGCACATGCCAGCGGTTCTGAAATGGATTCAGAAGAATTCTTTTTCTTCTGGGTCTGTCTGCTTCTCTGCCCCTCGTGGCCAGCCGGCCCAGCCGTCCTGCACGTGACCATGACCCATCCAGTCCGGCTCAGCTGGCGGAGGACCGCTGTGCAGAGAGGCCAGGGGCATCACAAACCGCTCGGGTGGGAAAAGCGCGAGTGCCCGATCACGATCGCGACGGAAGGTTGACCGCGGTGGTGGTTTCTCTGCACCGCGCACTCGGCGCCGTCTGTTCCCGAGCGGAATCCTGCGCAACAGGGGCGTCAGACTCATCTTCACGGGGGCCCATCAGCCTCGAGGTGGCCTTCCAAGGGCCGAGTGTAATGTTAGGGCTGCATACATGTAACTGCTCCTTAACGGTTAAGTGAGAGCTGGCACTGCTGCCGGGTGGAAAGAAGGCACCGGGCGGATAAAGCAAGGGGGAGGGCCGGATTGGGCCTTACGTCTTGCGTTTGCCACCTGCGCTGTACAGCGACGCTGTGCGGTACCTTGGGGTCACTGCGTCTGTCCTCAGTGCGGCTGACACTGAAGCTGCAGTTGTCAGCCAGGTCTTCTGTGGACCCAGACCTTATCCTTGTCACGCCACTGGCAGGTTGCACTGTCTCTTTGAAACACTCATGACCTGATCTGACCTTTGGAATGGACACACAGTAACCACTTGTCCCTGAATGTCCGTCAGCTTAATGGTGACCAATGAGGCTTGTGGGACTCCTCTCCCTAGGAGTGCTCAGAACTATCTCTCGGCCAGGCCTGCGCACCAGTGTCTTCTGGCTGGGATGACGTCGGTCAAGCTAGGCACATGGACTTGTGCCCCTATTCCCTCAGGGACACCCTAGGGCCACCTCACCGGCCTTTCATAAACTAGGAGCCAGGTCAGTACACATTCTAATTGTCGAGTCACACCTTCGGTTGTGCAAAATTGTGGACCATTCCGTTTCATCACAGCACGTTTCCTTGGTTCTGAGAAGTGGAGAATGGAGGCTTCCAGATGGCTCTGTCGTCTGTCTCAGGGTCACTGAAGCATTCGTGCTTTCGCCGGTGACAGTCCTTCCTCTCGCTGGCCTCTCGTTATTATCAGCAGAGCCCCAGCTGGTACTCCACAGGTCGGCAGGCCTGACGGAGGAGAGGCTGATGGTGTCATCAATCTCATTATATTTATTTAGGCCCGATTTAAACAGTGAGGAAAAAAGGATACTTCCCGCACTCATCACTGGAACAGGAATCACCTCAGGACAGAACCCCTAAAGAAACCCTGCTTTAAAGAAACTACTTTGATGCCTTCTCTGGAGCTTAGACGAGTCAGGATTTCTTTTGTAGTCATCAGCAATTATTTTTCCCATCTTCATCTGTACAGTTCATACATCCAGCAGGGACCTAATTATCTTTGGGTAGGAAAAAGCCAAGAGAACTTGGAAAATGCATTTAATATAGAAACTTAATTTTACTCATTAAAATTGATCCGTCCCCAACCTCCTCTCTCCAAAATAAAATCTAAAAAGAGGATAACAAGTAAATACCAAAGAATACCCACAACATGTGTGAACATAGTATTAACATTTAGACAGTTTTCTTACAATGCTTTCTCTGTTGGCAAACCAAACAACAACAAAAAGGAAAAACAAGACACAAAACCAAACCCTGATTAAATTAGTAGAAGAAAAAGTATCAAAAAAGTAATCTTAGTTGACAAGACTGCATATCCTCTGAGGGGAATCAGAAGGAACTGGTTTCACCATGGAAACTACTGGTTGGCTTTTTATTACTTTATGTTTTAATTTTGGCCAAATTATTTGGTCCTTAACACTTCATTTTTCTAAAGTCAGCTGTCATTTTTATTGTTTCTAATTGTATCTGCTTCAAACTTAGGAAATTCATTACAGTGAATATTACTAGATACATGTTTATAAAACCACATGAAAGGGTTTTTTAGTCTCTTTCCTACTCTGTTCTCTTGCTCTTAATTCTCCCATGTTCCTTCTCGTGTTCCTACCTTCTCTGACTCTTTGATGGCTTTTCATAAATCCATATCAGCTAAAGAATTTATATCCTGACAATTTTATCTCCTCAATCAAATGCCATATAGGGATAAAACTTTGAAAAAAATTGTTCTAAAGTAGCTTAGTAGGTAGGAAGAAATAGGTGTGAAACGTGAAATTTCTTTCTTATCCGACCATGTAACAGTTTATTATAGTACTTGTAATTGTTATTAGACTCGATAATAGAAGATCTTTTTTTATTTCTGCATTACAGACAATGACATTGGGCTATCTATGTATTATATTCCTGTTTCTATTATACATCCTGATTATTATAACTAGTTTCATTTTATATAGAAATAAAACCGCATAAAGTCATAGTAATGAGAAAACAAAAGAAAGTGACTTCAACCTGAATACCTCCTCCTTATTCAAACTCTTTCAGTAATATGCATTTCTCTAAATTTCTCTTAGTGCCTGAACTTCATGGCAAAAACAAACCACTGATCAATTACGTGGGGGATTCCACTATCTTGATATGTAAATGCCAAGGTTGTTGTCCTTTAAACTGGACCTGGCACAGTGGTAATGGGAGTGTGCAGGTAAGATTATATTTCTTTGATTTGAAGAAAAAGGTTTATTTCGTAAACAATAAGATTATAGCCTCAGAATTCCTGGGACTGTTTATAGGTCTGTTATCGTTTTCTTCAGTGTGTACTCATGAAAAGAGAACAGTAGGAAATGCAGCTGTCATTGATGGTTTTAGCTTAGTACATTGTACATCAAAAATTTAATGTTTCATTAGCTGGTACTTGCCTTTTTAGATTTAGCAATGTATTTAAATTTTTTGAAAGGAGGTTGAAAGAAAAAAATAAGTCATTTTTCACTGACGACCTTAAAGATTGATGACCAACGGAAAAAAAGATTCTTTTTTTTATCCTTTCAGGAAAGTAACTAGAGAAAAAGCCCCTTTTCTTTTCCTGCTTCTGTCTCTGGAGAACAGAATGAAAACCTGATAATTGAATTTAGGTCTTAAGTTCTTTTATTAACTCTCTTTGGCCTTTTTTGAACTTGCAGAGACTTAAGGAAAGCCAAATGCTTAATATTACTATTAAGGAATTAATGGGTATTCAAAGAGCTGATATTAAGAAAAACACGAGTGTTCGAGAAGTCACTTCTGGCTCTTTCTTCCTCTGAAATGGCCTCAAGTAGCACGGACATTTAAGAAGTTGTCCCTTTGGGGACACCCATCTATTGCCCTGCTGCTGAGGATCATGGAAATTAAATTCCGCGAAGGCCAGCTGTAATTCTAGAAGGAGCAGGACGAGACAGTGTAGGTCTTACCATGAAATATTAACTTCCTTCCGAGACAAGATTCATACAGCTGAAGGGGGAGAGAGAAAGGACTGAAAGGGCAGCATGGCTGACTCTGTACTTGTCGGTTTGATTTTTCAAAGAAATAGTTCCAAGTCATCTCGGGGTAGACTTAAATGACTAATATTTCTGCTTATCTTAGTGATGATTAGGCAAGGCAATCACTTTTTGTATGTAAATACTTTTTAAAATGTAAATTTGTAAAAACAACATTCATTGTGGTTTTGGAAGTACACAGCTCAATTTACTAATAATGCGAATGCGATACTGACAAAGGGACCCTGAATCTAATTATATTAAAACTTTTAGAATGTCGTCTGGGGTTCTCTCCATGCGCTATACTGATTTGCTCTGACCTTGGCCCTCAGCATGGGTCACATTAGGATATGAGAAAAATGCAAGGAACAGGGTGTAGGTTAAGCGTTTTTTTCCAGATGCAGATGAGCCAGCTGCACCGGCATCGGCCACCTGAGAGGCCCGTTGCGCATGCACCGCCTGGCTCATCCGCTCTGAGTTGGAGAGCATGCGTTGGAGAGCATGCGATTGTGACAAGCACTACAGGGGGCACTGTGCACGGGGAGCCTATCGCTACAATTTGGGGGCAAACAATAGACTCACACAGAGCTCCTCATCAGACAACCTCTGAGCATGTGTGCGGGCGAGCGCTTATTGAACAGTGCAGTTGAGGGGTAGAGCACTGAGGGCAGCCAGTGCCCCAAGAGTAAAATTTAATTTAAGTGGATCAAATCCATAAGCCCCCCAATAGCTGAAGATGACTTTTCAGTGGCTGGGGAAACCCAGTGAATCTCTCAGAAGCTAGCGTGCCTGAGAGACAGAAAACTCGGATGTGAAAGGCAGAGAGTGGGCAGACCACCGCACGCGCCAGGCTCACCGGGGATTTCTGCCGGTCCTCCTGCACCGTCTTCAAAGGCCCGAAGATTTCCTCTTCAGTTCCAGCCGGAGGGGCTCCCCGTGCCAGGAGCCAGCCACCCTCCACTGTAGGAGCGATCGGATCTCATAGCTCCCTTAATGTAACCCTGAAAGTCATGTGTGCCTGTGCTTGTGAAGGAAGAAGTTCTTCGAACAGCTAGTCAGGAATTAGAACATGAATCTTAGATGGCTGGAATTTTTCTGTATTTTTAGTTCCCACGTAGTATTTACCTGTGACGACCTCCGTGCTGCAGTTTTGAACCTTCGGTGTCAAGGATGCAAAACAGAGTTTACTTCTCCTCCGTTTGCTGCCTCTCGGAGACCGGACTCTGACAGGGCTTGAGCTCTGCTATGTGTAACTTCTCACAAATTTTAATGCGCCCCCTGCTGGCAAGCAGTTTCCTTGGCCCTATCTTAGAGTGTTTCCTGCCAACTAGACCCTCTAGCAGGGGTGTCCAACCTCGGCCCACGGGGCTCAGGGTGGCTGTGAATGGGGCCCAACACAACATCGTAAATTTACTTAAAACACGGTGAGATTTTTTGGGGTGTGATTACACGTCACGTTGTATTGAATGGGTGGCCCAAGACAACTCTTCTCCTCCCAGTGTGGCCCGGAGACGCCCAAAGGTTGCACACCCCTGATTGAGCAGGGGTGTGCAGTATGGTAGGACTCGGTTTCCATGTCTCCTTCTACTAGGTTCCTCTTGACGTTCAGATGACCGACAAGTATGTGATCACTGGGACGAATGTCAATGAGACGAGGCTCAAGATAATGCACCTCTCTGAGGATGACCAGGGGACCTACAGGTGCCACGCGGTGTTCCCACTGGGCGAGGTCGAAGACCACCTCGAGCTGGTCGTGCTGAGTTACCTGGTGCCCCTCAAACCGTTTCTTGCCATAGCCGCGGAGGTGGTCGTCTTAGTGACTGTTATCCTGCTGTGTGAAATGTACACCCAAAAGAAGAAGAACCGCCCAGGTAGGATTTATTTTAGTGTTTTTAGATAATGTTCTCATGTTATGACTTCATACATTACAGGGGCTTCAGGGTTCTGGGGGGAAATGTAGGTTTTGTTCTTTGGGGTGATATTTATGTTAAGATCAGGGGTGATACTGCGCTGTGGGCTTGCATTGCTGGTCTTCCTGTTTCAACTCGCCCGAATATTTCCGTGTTGAAATAGATCTTTTCCCCCTTTTCCTTTGGTGTCACTGGTCCCTACACACTGGGTAAGGAGATGTATGTGCTTTGGTAGTGGACTGTGCCTTGGGAAATTCTGTGGTAGCTTAAGATAAGAGACAAACAATTACTTTTTCAGGGAGATAACTCATGTAAAATTATTTTCCCACGCATTGTAGAGTTCTCATAAAAGAGACACTATCCTGTTGGTTGCTGGTTTTTATGGCCTGCACCTGATGGCTTGCAGGTGGCGAAGCCAACGGTCCCCTCTCAGGAAAGTTCTCTTCCATTCTGTCTTCTTTCCTGATTTTGTACTACATCTTTAATCACTTAAATAATTTGTAATTAATCAGTCAATCAACCCTGTTTGGAAATCCAAGGCACTAGATGTGGTGTGGCGGGAGCATCAGGTGAGGTGTGGCGAGCAGGTGCACACAGGACAGGGGGCAGGGCAGGGCAGCTGACCAGTGTCGCTCGTCTCTCTCCCACTCCCCGGGGGACAGAGCACAGCGCTGGGCCTCTGACTCAGGGGAAAGCTGAGTGGAACGTGCTGCTCCGTAAGAATCATCACCCAGTCTTCCTACTAACATGTATCTTCTTCTTTCGTGACACAGATGACGGGAAGGAATTTGAACAGATTGAACAGCTGTAAGTAGCAGTTTTTCTAGATTCATTTTCTTGAGAGAGAAATACAGATAATCGTGAAATAGGATAAAATGTTTAGAGTCAGGGGAAACCCCCCCTGAGTGTGTTACGTGTGTGTTCCGTTCTGTCCGTGCTGCGGTGAAACACGTGGAATTTGCCTGCTGTCACGGGGCTGTCCCACACTGTGACTCCCACTTCCCTGTGCTTCCCTTTTCTCCTCAGCAAGCGGGTTTATGTCAGTACTTACAACACAAGGCAGCCGCATTAAATGGCATTATATCCGTAAAGTGCCTGGCTTGGGGATCTGGTGCACAGAAGGTGTTCAGTAACCGCGAGGACGCAGTATTGCTCCAAGCGCCGGTACCCAGCCCTGGCTGTGTTTCCATCACTTAGGGCGCTCCGTGACTCAGACCTTCCTGGATCTCCAGGTCCGAGGCCCCCGGCTTGGTGCCTGGGCATCTGCATTTCTCTCACATGGCAATCCTTGGTGCAGACTCCCAGTCATGTTGCAAACGACTGGCCTAGAATTCCACTAGTCATTACTTCGGAAGGCGCCCGGCTCGTGCCCCCGGCTGGCACAGCCCCCGCTGTGTGGAGCCGAGTGGGACAAGGGCCGGGATGGAGGTTATGGGGCTGGGGCCTGGGGTGCTGGTGAAGCCCCGCCCCCCAAACCAGAGCACTGGGTGACGGGGACAGGGGCAGCCGAGGCTGGCATGGAACTCTGAACAACGTCTAGTTTACCCCTGGAAGTCTGTCCCCCTTCCTCTCCGTCATCGTTTTCATGCCTCCCCGCCCCTCTGGCCGCCATCTGCTTGTTCTCTGTCTCTGAGTCCGCGTCTGCTTTGTTTGTCCACTTGTTTTGTTTTCTTCTTTAGAGTCCACATATAAGCGAAATCATACGGCATTTGTCTTTCCCTGATGTATTTCACTTAACGCAATGCCCTCTGGGCCTGCCCATAAGCCACGGGGATACAATGTGCAGCACGGAGAAACTAGTGCACGGTATCATAGTCACGTTGTGCGGGGCTGGATGGCCGTTGGACTTCCCGTGGTGACACATTGCAAGGTCTAGAAATGCTGAATCCCTATGTCGTGCGCCTGAGACTAAGATAGTGTTTATGTCAGCGATACTGCAAAACATCTGAGTGCAGAGTCGAGGACTGGAGACCAGGAAAAGGAGGCCAGAGGAAAGCAGAAACCGGAGGCCTCAGCAACGGTTACTAACCAAAAACTGCACTTAAATTTTCTCTCTGTCAGTGGGCAGGGGCTCTGAGGCATGGGTGCTGTGGCCACGCTTCCACAGGAGGGCACGAGAGTGCCCTTGTCATCTAGGTATTTGCAGACATTATTCAACATAGTTATTTTTACTCAATTTACATACAGCAGGCGAAACTAGTCATTGCTCTATGAAGTTCTAAATTAAGGCCATTAAATAATTACACCAGGAGTCCTACAACCCCAGATAGGAATTAAAGTGTAAGAGTCACACACTCCCAGTTGGAACAGAATCAATCGTCCCTCTTTCTGGACAACCTAGGCATCTTGTTTATATTAGTGTGAACTCTTCGTCTTTCTGGTTGCCATGTACGGAGTCCCTCTCTCCTACTCAAAGTCGTATGAAATACGTGACAGTCGTTACGATGTCTGAACAGCCCCAGCCTTGCCTGGCCCTCCCCCCCGCCGCCAGCTCAGCCTCCCCGGGGCTTCCGAGCACCCCCTCGCAGTGCCCTGGGGGCTGCCGCGGGCTCAGCGCACGCTGGTGTGTTTGGGACACGCTCTGCAAGGCTGGGACCCAAACAACGTGCAGTAGGCGACCACTTCTCAATAATTCGGTTCCCATCCATGCAGCCTACCCTGTGTAAGAAATACTTAGAAAATATTTTTTCTAGACTATCTTAGCAATGTTGGAGTGTTTCGATTTCTAGTATGAGGCCTTAATTTTTTTAGGTTTTAGAAATTGGGATATGGTACATCATTGTTTCCATCCTATACTGCTCCACCGAGATCACTGTCTCATTTTTCTCATCTGTAGGTTACAGCTTTATCCTTAGATTTCATGCGAGGGTCAAGGGTCCTTGAACCCATTTGGACCAACCTTTTGCCAATGCTCTTTCAGAATTCTTAGTTAGGAGATAAATTTATTTTTGACAGAGAATAAATATTATGTATCAATATATTTTCTATATAATGTTCATTTACACACGTGTGTGTTTAGAAACCAGTGATTTGTTGGTGAAAATGATTTTTTAAAATAGCTCTAAACACGTAACATCTGAACAGGCTGGTCTGAGTGCTCATTCAAATGGTCCAGCGAGGCCCTGCCTCGCTATCTCATCCACTGCGACATCTCACCCACCCAGTCCCGTCTGCCCGACTTGCCCCCAAGTTCTCACATAATTGATTTGTGGTTGAATTTCTTCTCCCATGTTAATAGCTGCATGAGTCCGACGCTGCCCAGAAGACCTGGAAGGGCACTCATTATCCATCCTCGTTAGCTAGTTTAGTCACTCCTGTCCTCGGAGTCTGAAGTGCAGACTCGCATCCCTGCTCTGATGCACACAGGGTAGATAAAGAACCACGTGTAGCCTCTAATTCAATGTAATAAACAGGTCAAATCACAGCACCTGCATCTCACGTATCGGCGGAGCTCCTGACGGGCCGTTATCTGACATGTGTCTAAGCAACACACACATCATAGCCGTGTCCCCAAGCCCCCACCCGTGTTCGGGGAGAAGCATCCCTCCCTCTGAGTAAAACAAACAGGCCTTTGTCACTGTCTTCTATGGCAACAGAATCAGTGGCATAAAAACAATCAACATTGTAAGTCAAACATTTTTAAGAGGAGTGAATTCTGTCTGTAATTACCTTTCACATTAACCTGGTAGCCGTGAGATGGATGGTTACTGACTTAATTTTATGCAGTGTAAACATCTAGTGATTTTCTGTTTTATTTTCAATGCAGGAAATCAGATGATAGCAATGGTATAGAAAATAATGTCCCCAGGCACAGGAAAAATGTAAGTTACTTCTAAATGGTATCCCAAGTAAAAGGTAAAATCCACTATACATAGGCTATCTATTAATCCAGCTAATTTTTTGTTTGTTTGTTTCATTAAAGACCTAGTCAATCACTATGTGCTTGGACATGCTTATTTACAACATTATGGGGGAAAATATATAGTTATACAAAAATAAATGACATTTTTTTCCCACCAGAGAACCAATCTAAAAGTAAATCTATTGCACTGCCTATATGCAGTTTTTTTCTCTTGTCACCATGGGCTGGTTTCTTTTACAATTTTTCATGTAGTGCTTATTTTTCCCCCTCTCAATTTTTCTGGATTCTCCTCTTTTATTCTCACATATTCCCATATTTTGGGTTCATATTACCTTTTCAGAATTCATCAGTATTTTTCCCCCAGTGGTGAGAGTAGGAACGGTTGGTTTTGGCAATACTTCGGATTACCCCTTCCCAGCAGTTTTTGCTTTGCTAAAGTGATGATGTCACTACATCCTGCTAACCAGGACGTGCTGACGAAGTTTCACTGTGTTTTGTTCGACTCAGGAATCTGTGGCCAGCGAATGAGAAGCGTCACGCCAACAGTCATGGGAAGACGGACAGAGAATTTGTATTCCTGCTCTGTCTGTGCTTCCTGTTAAGAACATCTGAGTTTTTATCTTTTAAAAGAATAAAGAGTTTAAGCAGCATGTCCAGCAGCAGCTTCATGAATAACAGATGCTATCTCAGACCTAAAGCTGTTTTTGTTCTGTCATTATTTACATAAAAGTGAGGTAAATTGTATTAAATATGTTGTAGGAGCTCTAACCCAGGATAATAATCTCATCCGGTCCTCAGGGGACACAGACCAGACACCAGCAAAACCAGGTAATAGTTCATAGAGCTACTGTCACTCAAGACCTGCTTACAACCAAAGAATTCATTAGAAAGGAAGCCTTTGCCATTTGCCTTGAAAAGTGTTTTCCCTAATCGTGCTTACTGTGTAAAAAACTGCAGTAATAGTCGTGTAAAGTTCATCCTCCTGTTACCTTGAAGGAAAGTGTGTCATGACTCCGAAGTGAGTACTTTCTGCCTTTGCTGCTGACGGTCACTCTCCGCAGCCACAAGAAGAACGCTGTTTTCCTCCAAACGTCCTGGTTTAGGGCGAGGAAGTAGAACCATGCACTTCCCCAGCCTCCGTCACCACCACGGCATCTGCCCCAGTCCGTACTCTGCGCATCTGCGCTGCTTCCCCACAGCAGCCAGAGTGATTCTTAGCCTTTACCAAGAGCACTTCTTTAAAGCCACGGGTTTCGGATTTCCTAAGTCCACCGAGTACTGATGCGGTTGGGCACAGGGCCATGTGGTCATCACGCAGCCCTGCTACGAGAATGCTTGCGAGATTCAGGGTTCCCTGGCGTCTTGGGGCGCCTGGTCGCCTGGTGTCCATGGCTGGCTCAGTACCTAAAAATGCACTGTTCCTGCTTACCATCCTAACTCTTCTGTCCAAAATCCACAAGTGCTGGAGTGCTTCTGCGATGCTGCAAACGCCTTAGACTTTTCTTCAGGGATAGACTACGTAGTAGCTCTTGCATATGTCACTGAAATACTATAAAATCACTCTAACCAAACCATGGGAACACTGAACAGACATGGACATTTGTCAGTGGCTTTGACAAGACCATTAGAGTCCAGAACCCTGCTGCGGAATACCGGATTGGGTGGAGGACGATGACGGGCAGGCTGCTGGGCGTCTTGGTGGAGTGGGTCCCGCTGCTCACAGACTGGCCGGAAGCAGAGGGAAATTTGGGGTGCTGGCAAGGAGCCCACAGTTCTTGGCGACTGGGGGATTAGAATGCCAAGAAGGGGACTTTAATGAGTTAAAAAAACTTTATAGAAATGTATGCTATGTGTTGTCTGAGAAAATTATAATAAAATCCTGGTAGTGGCATTTATAATTTATACGGCGTCCTAAGCAATGTTAAAAATAGCACCAGTGTGACTAATCCACACAAAGTAGTAACCTGGAAGCTGCGCATTATTTCGCTGTGCTAGGGTTTCGTGTCAGCTCTGCACACAAGTTTTGTCGAACTAGAAAACATCCCTTCGGTCATGGCAGATCTCATTTTATTCTCGAGCCATAGGCCGTGCGTTTATTTGGTTTCACCAATTATTACTTTGATAACATAATTGTGGGCGGTATCTGTATGATGACAGAGGACTCATCAGTTCACTTGGTGAATCTAAACAATTTGAATTCGGTGAGCAATTAGACCTGTTGTCTGGCCGGGTCCCATTCGACACAGTACACGTGTGACTGGGTAGGTACCAACCAGAAACAATTTGTAGCTCGGGCACAGTGTGCGTCCTCACAGTTCGCTACTACCGTAAAGGCTAAGGTACTTTCCAAGCAAGAAAAATTGCTGCCCCAAGGTCAAGTGACCTGGAATATTTACAGAGTACACTGAATTTGCAAATGGCAGTGGCTGGCTATTTTTCCAGCAAGGACAACTTAGTTCAGTAACTTGAAGAAGAAAAAGCACTCAGAAACATTAAAGTTGAGTTTTGGCTTTTCGGAGTCTCTCTGGAGGGCTTCTGGAAAATTACTCCACTGATATCAGATTCAACACAAAAAGCTTCCATGAAGCCACCGGGTGGAGATGATACGTGGATCGACTCACACCGACCCATCGTCAGTTGACTCGAAATGCTGAGTGAGCAGAGAAGCTCAAGTAGGGGAACCACCGCGCATGTAGGTCCTGGACGGGAAACCCGATTTCTCTTTCCAGCTAACAGGGGTTTGCAGCATATTGAGTAGGTTTAATGTCATAAAATGCCCAGGTACTTTCAGATTAGCTTATACTGGAATGTAAATCTCCCTTTGTAGTCTTCCCCTTTTCCCTCAGTATCCGTTTATTAGGCCAAAACCTAGACCCCGTTGTGATATTTTCTCCTCTATTAACTCAAGCGTGGGAGCCATGAACCGCTCTTCTTTCTAACAGCTCACTGATCCACCCGCTGCCTCCCCCACCTCACCCCAGCCAGCGACAGCAACTGAATTCTTGACTTTCCTACCTCGGTCTCAGCTGCTTTTCATCCTTTTTTTTTCATTGCTGCCTAAATCACCTTCTAAAACACAAACCTCTCCATGTAGCTTCATGTGGGAGCTTCCTGCCAAAGCTCTGCAGGCTCACCTTTGCCATTTGTTAGCACTGCCCTTCTGCAAATTCCTAATCTCTCTGCAATGTCTTGCATTAGCTTTGGCGCTGCAAGATTTGGTTCAGGAGGCCAACCCCGAACCCCTCCCCACGGACCGAGTCAAGGTTAGCTCTCAAGACATTGCTCTGACGCCCCTTCCCGGAGGGATCCTCATAGCCGGCGGAGTGCGGGCCATCCCGGGTGCTCAGACAGCTGCCAGTCTCTGTGTTTATTGCCCCGTCCTGCAAATATACGCACGTTTGTCTCCCTCCTGGATCGCTGTGCCTTTCACGTGCGTCCTGCTCCACCGCAGGATGCATTTGAGCTGTCATGAAATGTGTGATGAATGGATAAATGTATCAGTAAAAACCAATCAGATTTCATAAGTTTGTTCTTATTAGAAGAACAATCTAAACTGTGACATCAGAATACAAAATATTTTAACAGAGATAAGCAAGACTTTAGAACTTCCGTTTTTGCTTCTATGACTTTGAAAAAACGCACAGTAATAAAAAGTCCTGTCTGATTTTAATAATGTTTTAATATTTAGCGAGCAAAGAGAATTCTGATTCCTAAACTATTAGACAGGGTATGTTGCTTTCAACTTATTTAAATTCCTATTTTACTTTATTTTTCATGGACAGTACAGATTTTGATCTGAATTTTATCCTTCCTTTTAGTAAGTCAATGAGTAGATTTCCATTAAACATAAAGAACTGGAGCCCTGTGCTCCTGTGCACGGCACTGCTGGTGAGTGTTGGTAGGCTGTATTTTGCCGTGCATAATGCGCACCCATGTTTTAGTACTGATTCCCATGTATAATTTCCCCACGTATAATTAGTGCTACCCATGTATAATGTGCATCCTTATTCTTCCCTCAAAAGTTTGGGCAAAAAAGTGCTCATTATACACGGCAAAATACGGTATGCGCCCACTCCACTGAATTCCTCATTCCTCCTCCCCATCAGTGCTTTATAGTATCTTACAATATCTCAGAATCCAATTCAACATCTCATCTTAAAGGAAAGACATTTTTAGAACATTTTGTTTAGTTTGGATGACTGAAAGTTTGTCTTGAATTAAATTCATCAAAAGAAACAAAATTGTCCGTTCTGCTCCCTCATTCCCTGGGTCTTCACCTTTGAGGCATTTAAACAGAGTTATGCAGAATGACTTCCTGACTGTCAGACTTCTTCCTAGGAAAGTGAAATAGGCGAGGCAGTGAATTTGGGACTCACTCCGCAGTAGCACTGTCCACCTTCAGGTAGGAATACATTCATGTATGTGTTCCAGTATTAATTAAAAGGCACAGTAACCTGACCCAGCTGGTGTGGAGCCGGCCTGTGAACCAAAGGGTTGTCAGTTCAATTCCCAGTCAAGGCACATGCCTGGGTTGTGGGCCAGGTCCCCAGTAGGGGGCGTGCAAGAAGCAACTACACATCGATGTTTCTCCCTTTCTTTTGCCTTCCCTTCCCCTCTCTCTAAAAATAAAATCTTTTAAAAAGAAGGCACAGAAACCTATTTATAGCATGCTCTAAACTAGTATTTATTCAATAACTGAAAAATAGATAAATGAGACAATTATTTTGGAATCTTAAGTTATACATATTTATGAAATACCTGCTTTGATTTTGATTAATAGGCTGAATTTATCCTCCTGTAGTATAGATGAGGAAACCGGGACTCTCTCTGTGCATTTCTCTCACATGATATTAGCAACGAAGGTCAATTCTGTGCCCTGTTTGTCAACTGAGTTCTTCGAGAATATGTAATATTGAATAATAATGACTGGCAGGCCTTGAGCACTTAGCATGTGACAGGCACTGTGCTCGATGTTTTGAAATGTGTAATTACCTCATTTAACCTCCAAATCACCCTACGTGTAGGAACTATTACCATTTACTTTTACACAGATGAGGAAACTGAGCCCTAGACAGATTGTTGTTTGGAGCTGAGATTGACATCCAAGGAGACCCCCTTCAAGACTCTAGCTTTAACAGCCACGTTGGAGAGCTTTGGCTTGCTACTTACATGTTTCTTGGAAAGTGAGACTATTGTCTATCAACTATCTTTTGTTTTGTAAATGTCACTCCTTCAGATGGTCAGGTAAATAACAAGTTCCGCAATGTCTCCCGGAGGGGCTCCTGGGCCTTGCGCTCTGGCACGCATGCGCCTCCGCCGCGTGCTGGGAATCGTGCACTGCGGCCCTCCCACCACCCCAAGGTTGCTTCTCAATAGTGAATGCCGTCACAAAATGTATCATGCAAACACTGGGGAGGAAGGAAGCTGCTCTTTACCATGTTAGCACGACGACAGACAGCGGACAGGCCGGACGGTCACACGTTTAGCCCGCAGGGAAGAGTGGACTAGTTGTTTGGATGTTCGAGCCCAGGCACCGCGTGACAGCAGCCGCAAGTTTGAATGGGAGACACGAATCCACTTTAGGGAAGAACTGTCTTTACCAAATGCCGTATCAGCCTCACTACCGAGAAGCGCCTATCATGAGATACTTTAGTAAGCTTCAAGATTTATTCCTTTCCAGTAATAATTTAAAACGTATCGGCATTCAAAAGTATGATTCAAAGGTGTGGGAAAAACTGGGAAAAGGAGTCCTATTTTTGATGGCCCGTGAAGCGAACTGGACGAGTCTGCGCACTGGCCCACTCTCATGGTTAATGTGCCCTCATCATGACGTCTGTGCGGTCCTCCATGGATCGGGGAGCCTGCCGATGCCTGTACAGTAAGATTCCCCTGTGGAATCAGTGGTCGCTCACGATGGTGTTGCCAAAATCACTTCTGATGACATGGCTGTCCCGTAGCATCTGCCTTTCCTACTCGCTCATTTCCCAAAAGGGAAAACGCTCAGGAAACTTGTTTAGGGTGTGTATGGTGAGAATCTGTATGTTACCTTGGTGTAGTATTTATGATCTTGGAGAACGTTTGTGCGTGAAAAGTGATTCTGCTGTTTAATCTGTAATTTATTTCAGAAAATAATTTGGCTCCAATTCTTATTTTTCTAAAATGTATTTGAAAAATGAAACTAAGACTTAGAGCTATTAAATGTACAAAAATATTCTGCAGTATATATTAATTGCTTATCTCGCACAGTATAAATTTGATCATAAACTTTACTGTTTTTTTTTAAAATAAAGACTCATGGATTTATTAAGATATATTTCCTGTCATTTTTTCTTTCTTTACTATATGTGTCTAAATTCTCATTAATGACTTGCTGTATTATGTAAATAGCACAGAAAATGTCTCTATTGGAATGTTTTAAAAACTTTCGTTGCATATGACTTAAGGAATATTTCTAATATGTGATTAAATTCAATGCATTTACTCTGAATTAAAAATTTAAATGAATATTAGAAAGCATGCTTTCAATTTTAAATTTTCCTAGTGGTTAAAAAGTGCATTTAAAAGCACTGGATGATAGAAAGTACTAATCATTTTCTTTGGTTATACTCAGAGAAAATTCAAGCTTTTCAAAACAATTCATTCTTCTCAAGCCCCACAAACAAGCATGCTGGAACTGGTCCTCTGTATTTTGACACCTCCCATAGGAAGTTAGAAGGGAATTTTCAAAACTTACCAAATATTTGGACAATTTCAAAGACAATCATGGCTTTGATATAAACAGACATTTAAAATGAAATTAATGTCTAGAACATATTGGCTTGTCCTGAGTAGATTTTTGTTAATTGCACTGTTATATTAAATTGATTCAGCAAAACTGGTTTCCAAATGCGTCTTCTACGACA